ATGTTTAATATTATCGACCATTTACTTTTTATTCCTGTGAGTGGTTGTCGTAGGAGCCCCAGCACACGGGATTGCTCAGGGGCCCATAGTGCTGTTAGACGGACGGTCTTGCGATCAGCTCAATGGCTTGATTATTATGAAGCATCCAAACACTTTCCAAAACTGAAATTGCACGATTAGAAGATTATGGCAACTGTCTGGTGGTTTGCCATTGGCGCTATCACTTATAGCTTTCTGTAATCAAACCAGTGCATTATTGCCGAAGTTAGCTGCCAGCAACTGAGTGAAATGTCCATTTAGTTAAGCAAAATGCGACTGGCACTAGTTAATCGACAAAGTACACACTCCATATGACAATTCTGCCAGGATGATACTGCAGAAGTTCACTGTCTTGAGACTTTGCCACATCCACCTTTTACTCTGATCTCTCGACCACTGACTCACTTTATAAAACTTGACAATTTCCAAAGAAGATGAAAAAAAGATTTCTTGGCATCCAAACCTTTAGAAATTTATCGTAAAGGCATAAATAATCTTGTAACTCTATGACAGAAATGTATAGCTGTTCAGGATTCCTATATTGACTAATTTAAACACTGTTTAAATACATCAATTCATGAATTAAAGTTGAGACTAAAATGGGATATTATTTTCTGAACATTTTAATATTTTGTTTCTGAGATATGATAGAGAATCCAGTTTCAGAAAGAGAAGAGGTCGAAGAAATTTAATTGTGCCCTTACAGATTTCTGGATATGGTTTGGAAATTTTCAATTAGAAATTTGTCAATCCTATTTGTCGTGGGGCTCTCCCCTTTTTACATAAGATGGATTCGTCCAAAGTATACTTATACTGACAGAGAGAATACCCGCTGTTGTGATACGTCGAGATACAGTCTCTCACTGTTTGCGACGTCTGTCGAACTCTCTGCTTTGCCAGAGAGGAACCCGGATGAAACTTTGCCTTTCGGCAAAGTTTCGTCCGGGGAGGTAGACAGGCCCTGAACCCGTCTAGGCGGGTTCAAAGGATATATTTTTGGCCGAGCCTACTGGCTCGCAGAAACCCACTTTAAACTCGGCCTTGTGCCACATATATTCCTCGTGGGTGGAATGTTAAATACTGCGATACGTCGCGATACAGTCTCTGTGTTCGACGTCTGTCGAACTCTCTGCTTTGTCAGAGAGGAACCCGCACGAGGCTTTGCCGAAAGGCAAAGTTTCGTCCGGAGAGGTAGACAGTTCCCGAACCCGCTTATGTGGGTTCAAAGGGGATATTTTTTGGCTGCGACTACGGGCTCGGAGAAACCTACTTTAAACTCGGCCTTGTGCCACATACATTCCTCGTGGGTGGACTGTTAAATATCGAGATACGTTGAGACAGGTTGAGGGATACGGAGACAGACACAGGGTGTTCTCAGAGAGTTATGCAAGAGTCCAGAGAGGGAGATGATCACGGCTTTACTTACAGAGACTTGTACATATACTTTCTACTAACCCACATTCCTGGACTACTAATCTTCACTTCAAGTCTGTATTCTTACGTTTAATACACTTATTTTTCTATCTCAGTTACTGGCGTTGTTACTTTATTTGTGCAGGATTCCATTCACGGAATCAACAACACTATTTCTAAATAAAATTTTTCGTAATATTTTTCTTTAGATACGACTAACTTGATAACTTCGTACCAAAATCTTAACTGTGAGAAAGTTATAGATTCATTTATAATCCAGTAGTGTATCGTCAGAATAAAAGAAAGGCAGCAAATTAGATAGAAAGGTTTTACTTCAACTAAAAATACTTAGCCTAATGGATTAAAGTGTTGGTTTATTAATTTGGTTACATAGTAATTGTGAGTTCAATCCCTGGGCCGAGTAGTGACTACTTAGATTCAGTGGAAACGGGCGAGAGCAATAAAAGAGCAGTTATAGTTGGCAGAACAATAACGGTCTACCTACGTAGATTAAATAAAGGGTTCAATTCAAAATTCCCTGAAGGTTACCTGTATCGACAAGCACCTGATGAAGACCGGAGGGCACAACCGAAACATGATAATTACAGCAAAGGTGTAAATAATGAATACTTTTGATTTTCTTTTATTATATTAAGGTAAATCTTTGATGAAGTAAAATTATTCCCCCACCCCAAACGGGTTCATGACTACAGTTGTTGACAAAAATATTAAACTGCTAGTATTTCTTGGTTTTAGTGTACTTATTGCCAATTCCCTGATAACTTGGTAAATAATATTTAGGAAAAAACATAATATTCAATTGATAATTCATACACACTTCCATATATATTTCCTTTATATATATTTTAGCATTATTTTAATTTGTACTCATAATCTAAATATTTATATTCATATTTATTTCATTATGGAGCCACCAACATGCCAAATAAGATTTGTAAATATTTTAACATTATCTTAATTTGTACTCATAATTTATCTATATTAATATATATTTCATTATGGGGTCATCAAAAGACTACTATGTCAAACAAGAGTTTTTATAAAGTGTTGTGCTGTCCTCCCGCTAAAGAGTCTACGTTGGACTCTTCCGCCTGCTATAAGATTAGTAGGAGAGAAGGCCTTGGGGGAACAGTCGCATAGATTGTTCAAACTATCGAACTCTCTGTCTCGGCACAGAGAGGAACTCGGACGAAGCTTTGCCGCAGGTCAACGTTTCGTCCGGGGAGGTAGACAGTCCCTGAACCCATTTAGGCGGGTTCAAAGCGAATATTTTTAGCCGAACGTACGAGCTCGGAGTAACCCACGTTAAACTCGGCCTTGTGCCACATACATTCCTTGTGTGTGTTTGTGCGGGGGACTGTTAAATATAACAGTCGAACCGGGCTGTAACTGTTCGCAGCTGCTGTCGAACTCTCTGCTTTTGGGCAGAGAGGAACCCGAACGAGGCTTTGCCTTTGGGCAGAGTTTCGTTCGGGGAGGTAGACAGACTTGGACCCGTTTATGCGGGTTCTACGGGAATATTTTTGGCCGAGCCTACGGGCTCGGAGAACCCACGGTAAACTCGGCCTTGTGCCACATACATTCCTAATGGTTGTGGGGTGCTGTTAAATATTGACTGTCGAATAGATTGAACGCTGGGTCAACCGGCCCACACTCACTAGTCGTGTAATACTCTTCTGTTGTACTTACTGTTTAATATATGATATATCTGCAACACTTGTTTTGTTATTTCTTTAACCGTTTACTTGATCACAACAATAAGTTTACCATTTGTCTATGCATTGAATATTGTTGGTACATCAGGATTGGTGCTTCTGCTATGTATCTAGATATTCATGATAAAATCAAAAGAAGATTCTGCAGTGTTATTGGTTCTGGTCTGGCATCTCGGATTCAATCACTTTGCTATTGCCTTTTTTATAAATATTTCCATGGCAATTGTTCTGATTAGCTTTCCTCTTTGGCGCCTCGACTTTAGTAATTTAAGAGTAGTACTAGATTAGCAGCGAGGTGTCAGAATTTCACTGTTGAAATTGATAAATGTAACCTTAAGTTCTATTCTAATAATTCCTTCGCTGTTGTGGAGTGATTTCACAGTGGAGGCTTGTATTTGTACTAAGTCGGTCCTAAAATAGGTTCGACGTACAAAACGTGAGGAACTTGATATAATAGGTATAACGCAGAATAAATCTAGTTGTGGTCGCTGACTACTTTCGTATTCGACTAATTGTCGTCCGACATCGACTGACTCACTGACCGACTGACTCACTGACTCGTTACTCTTACTACTCCTACTTATTATAGGTGGGAGAGTCTATTAACTATAGAATAGGTGTGTTCCACTATAACACTCACATTTGTCGCTTATGGAACTCTCTTCTAGCTTCTTGCTTTCCTGCCAACTACAAACTTCAAGAATTTAAATGCAACATCACTTGCCATTTTTAGTCGTACAAGAGGATGGCAAAACGCAGAAAACAGATTCAGTCTGTCTACCCTATATGAAAGGATTATTGGAGAAAATGCGTAAGATTTGTGGTTCATATAACATCAGAACAACCTTCAAAAGTGGTTCAACACTTCGCAAACACCTCTTCCGAGTAAGACCCACCATAGAGGAGAACATGGCTAAGTACTGTGTGTACGTCATCCCGTGCAGCTGTGGCACGAAATATAAAGGAGAAACAGGACACAACTTTAGGGTAAGACTGCAAGAATATCATAAAGCGGTAACACGAGGGGAAATAGAAAAATCAGGCGTAGCTGACCACATATAGAAGGAAAAGGGAGATCATCGCTTCCTGTGTAATGAGGTTGAAATAATAGACGGAGAACATCACTGGGAAATACAAAAACTTAAGGAATCAGCACATATGCTAAGCCACAAAAAATCTGAGCCGACAAAGCATAGAAATGAATACAATATGGGAACCACTAGTAAGGAATTCTAGAGATAAGCAATGAATAACAACAAAAAATTAAAATATAAGCGCTGGTAAAAAATAAGAAATAATAATAACAGAAAAATTGCAATAAGAGCACTAGTAAAAAAAAATGATATACACAGATGTCTTTAAGGACACATGGCCCAGTGAATAAAGGCGTTGGTTAGATCCAATGACTAGACCCAAAGAGTTGTGAGTTCAATACCAGACCACCGCAGTGGTGAACCAAAAACTTGGAGAGTTGAGTTAAAGGGAAATAACTGAGATATCCGGAAGAGGCATGGCACGTGGAAAACTAGAACAATCTACCCTGGTGCGCGAATGGAAGTGTTCGGTTCGAAATTCCAATCACCTGAAAAGGCCGGAGCGTACAACGGCCAAAACGTTGTGAATATGGCAATGAAGACAAGGATAACACTCCGAATAATGTAAATATTCCTTATATCATGGTTAAATATAGCAATTTCTATTTTAAAATTTTTACTCCAGAAATCTTGTGCATGCAACACCTATTAACACAACTTTTAAAGCAATAAAAGGGCTCAGCCAATTCAGCCATCTTGTTTTTCTCTCATATCAGACTTACGATCAAATCCTATTGAAAACGCCGGTTCTCATTCGATAAACAAAGTTAACTAGTGTCGAGCCCGGTCAGTACTTTGATGGGGGACAACTTGGTAACACCGGGTACTGTAAGCGACCTTCTACAATTTGAAATATATCTCATCTTTAAATAACCCACAAAAGGTTGATAAACCGTAAAAAATAAAACATAGTCAACCAATTTCTCTTATCAGCATTATTACTGAAAAAGTCTATCAATGTTTGGATAACAATGGTGAATCTCAAACTGTTGCTTTGGATATCTCGAAAGCATTTGAAAGGGTTTGGCATGTTGGTCTTCTTCACAAGTTGAAAGGTTATAGTATTTCGGGAGAAAATTTTGAACTGATTCAGTTTTTCTTATCAAATCGCGAAATTAAAGTTGTCTTGAACGGCCACTCTTCTAGATCGTTTTGTATTAATGCAGGTGTCCCGCAGGACTATATCCTTGGATCTACATTGTTCCTGATTTTCATCAACGACATTCCTGATGCCATCAGTTCTCAGCTTGGTAGCTATTCTGATGATACAACCATTTATTCCTGTTTTATTAGTAAGTTTGATCGGTTCGATATGGTCAAATTGGCATCTGATCTCAGAAATGATCTACAATCTGCTGTTAACTTAATCAGAGTTAACGGCAGCATGATGGTCACAAATCAGCAGGGTTAGTGAGTCGATCTGAAAAATCTGACGCTTGATTTGTTTCTTTGACATGTTTTTTTCCTCTTATGTAATTGGAACGTGCTTCGGTAATCTTGTTCATCTTGGAATTTTACTAAGAAGAATTTTCTATTAGTTGATTAGTTACTAATTAATTCCTCTTAGTAATTAATCAACTAACGGAAAATTCCAAGATGAACAAGATCACCATCATATGAAACACGTTTCAGCTGATTGCCTTCACATTGGTGGCATTTCATTCGTTTTGAAAGTATTAATTACCAGTACAGCCGGTTTTTAATTACAAGACAAGCAACATTAAAAAAAAAAAATGAATTTTCTAATGCTCTTAATTGTTTTTATCCCCCCCCTCCCTTAGAGAGAGCGCTTCTTGATTTTGTCGGAAAACTGAATACAGCGGCAACTCTTATTTTTGAGGGGTGGGCGGGTCTTATTAATATCTTTCTTTTTTTAGTTTGTTTCTGGGGTCATCACAACGTACCGCCCCCTACTTTCATAACATTGGCACAATTTTATATATATTTTTGTATACACAACTGTACATATTGAAATTTTTACGTCATCGGGTGTTTTTTAAATTTTTGTTAGGTGCCCTCTCTCTCTGTGTGTGTGTGTGTGTGTGTGTGAGGTATTTTGGTGTATGGTGGAGCGAATAGTGACGGATAGATTCTTATGGTGAATGAAGGAGTCGTAAATCTGATTAGCTAGGTATAGGATAGTTAGTGTCGACCAGCCTTGACCCATCTCCCCCGTTTTTTCGGCCTTGTGCCACAATTACTGTATTCAATCAGTAATAAATCGTAGACAAGCGACGTTTGTACAAAGGCTTATAATTTTTTGTAGATTTATATATTTTTATACTAGAAAATTTAAAAAAATATAACTTGAAGAAAGACATTCTGTTGAAATGTTTTTTCTTTTCTTTTCTTAAATCGCACTCTTTTCTTAACTGTTGAAAAATATTGAAAAAGTTACGTCAATCATTTTGTTTATTATTATTATTATTATTATTATTATTATTATTATTATTATTATTATTATTATTCAGTTTTTAATTCTTATTGCTGGCAGTATAATAGAAAGTTATGTAAGACAATGTTGCCTCTTCTCACCGGATTTATTCAACCTTTATAGTCAGGCTAATTGATGGTGCTGGAGACTCTACCAGGATTTATTATCTGTGGACGCTATTCGATACTGTGTCGATAGCTGATACAGAAAGAAAACTACAGGACCTCTTAGACACTGTAGTAAAGGAAAGCGAGGAGAGTACTAACTATCAATCGACAGAATGTATGGTTATCAGCATATGCTAAGGTTGTTTATCAAGGAGTCATCTGGTCATTATTGGTAGCATATGATTTAAGATCATTTATGAATAACAGGTAGTTGATGAGCTGTTTTTGATCCATTGCAAACTTGTCAAATTTCGTTATATTGTGAATCAGACTCAATGTCAGTATGTGGATCACGAATAGTAACGCGGATAGTGAGTTGAACTGAAACATCTTACGCTTGATTTGCACTTCACTAAGTGATTTCATCTTGTCACTGAGAGTCCTGTCTGTCTTTTGTCTGTAAATTATCCGCCCCTTTTCACAGCCTCCAGAACCATCTTGTTACGGAGAGTCCTGTCCAGCTACATAACTCTCAAGTACTTATAGCAATCGCTATCTACTTCCTTTATAGGTTCTATCCTTGTGTTAACCACCTTTTTTCCCTAATTCATTTCCAGCACCTCACTCTTATCAAGACCAAATGACCCTCCTGATATCATGGGGGCATATACTGACGGTGTTTATCAAGGCCTCCAACTGGTCATTATTGGTAGCATACGTCTTAATATGAGTCAACGGCAGCAATGATGATCACAAATCCCAGCTGAGGTAGCGAGTCGACCTGAAACATCTCACGCTTGATTTGTACTTCGCTAAGTTTTTTCCCATTATTATTATTATTATCATTGGGAGAGAAGCACACCAACGAATGAACATGGGGTTACAAATACACGAAACCCAATATACCAATCATGATACCCAGTTTGACAAGAGTATACCAGGCATTACAGCCAAATGTGCGCGATATGCTTACAGGTTTTTTCGATTGAGGGTGTTTCCAAATATGTAGATGTGTCTTCTATGTCGCCTTGGCTGCCTCATCCATAAAAAAGAAACCTCGCGACCTTTGGCCCTGACGTTTCTCAGCTATTTACGCTCATGAACTGCTGTAGGTTTTATGTATTATAAAATAACAGACACTAGCTTTTGTCCAATTGTAGAGAAACCGTCTAAGGGGATACATAAAAATCAAATAAAACTTAAATTGTTGTGTTAAATATGTTTAAAATGATTAAAGTATCCCAAAACTTGCAAAATTAAGGTGTAAAAAGTTAATTATGATATTTTAATCATTTTATTTGAAAATATGAAAACTTTTACAGGAACGATTCATTTTTAACAAGGGAAGTAACTTTAATCGGAATAAAATCGATTATTTCCCCTTATACAAATACTGTAAAAAGTATTTTTATGTTTGTAATATTAACACGATACTGAAAAAAATTGGAACAACGATTTAATTAAAATTCATATTACTCAATATTTTTATGTTTTTCTTTAAAGTGAATTAAAAAGACTATTAAAAAAAATCTATAAAATAACTATATCATGCCTAACATAAAAAAACATCAAGATTTTTCAAGGGAGGTAACTCTTTCGTCCTTCGTATGCTCAACTTTTTGTGTGTGTGCACACCATTTATCGTTATATCTCCATTTTTGTTTAAACTGAGTTATCTTTAAAATTAATTATCGCCTTAAAGACAATTTGGTTATCTTTGTATCAAAATTCAGAAGGTATAGAAAAGTTTTTTTTATTAAATGTGGACTGTTTCTTCTTTCTGTTTGTTTTCTTTCTCTCTTATCTGTGTTATTTCTCCATACTTTTCTCATCTTTTGTTGCTCTCGACAATACTTACTCCTTGACAAACCCTGTTTCCATCCATTTGCTCAAACTTGTCAAGTTGGTTATTTATTAGTTTTCAGTGTTTCTCTTGCCTTCGACGTGTCTTACGAGCGTTAAATGATGCAAGATTTTTTTCTTCGTTATGGCTCCCTGAAATTTCAGCCGAGTGCGTCTGACATTGAGCAACAGTTTTGTAGTTTCAGTTCTATACATAAATATTTTGTTGTCGCATGGTAGAGATCGTTTTGATAACTTTTTATACCATTCTCCAGTATTATAGGCTTCAACTATGCGATTTTTTTTTTATCGTGACACATTTTTTCATTTTCCAACTGCAACCTTTTGCATACACAATGAGTTATATTGGTTGACTAGTATACACAGCTTACCAAAAGGACGAACACATATCATTTTGATTTTTTACACAAGCGCAAAAAATTATTTGCACTGGCAACCCTGTAAAACAAAAATACAGAATGCAAATATATAGGTTCATGTACTTTTGCGCATATTCATTTTTAATTAATATTTTTCTTCCAGCTTAATAAAACTTTTGGTTAATTTACAGATTAGGACCCGCGCTCAGTTTTCAATAAAGATTTCCCAAATATTTACATTTAGGTGTAAATGCACATGCTTTATTTAAAATGACTTGATAAATTGGATACAATCTACCGTTTTGGAGTTATCGACAGTAAGTTCGGATTCATTCGCGTTGTTCATTACTAGTGTTGTTCGCATACATTTGCTGCGGAACAACTATGATTGGAATACTCACTTGTCTTGATTATTGCGCAGTAATTGAGACAAGTAAGATCAGTAAAAAAAAAAAAAGCCGTTAATTACGTTCTTCCGTGCTTAGCGTAAGATAACCTCCATCACCCAACATAAAGGCAATGGTAAACCTCTCTATCTTTCCCAAGAAGTCATGGCAACGGGAAATAACTATCATTTCCAAGAAATCATAAACACACTGTTGACCAAGATCATTACTAGAGGCTCAAAATTGTTAATCGGAGGGCCGAGTTCCAATTTCAGTTGGGTTTGTTATATTCACTTACGTGCAAATACCCTTGGGTAAGGTATGAATCCACATCCTCTTCCCTCAAGCTATGAGTTAATTAGTAAGACTTCTATCACTAAATCATTATTATTTCTGAAAAAATTCTTATGGTCTAATTTTTTTTCTCTCTCTTTAAATAACCTGCAAAAAATTGATATGAAATACTGATTAGCTATACATGAATGTTTTTTTTTTTTTTTTTTTTTACATTTATTTACATTCTGTGGAATATAAATGTATAGACATTACCATGGCCACAAGGTGATGGAACAGTTTATAAATTGATTTTTATATCGAATTGAACTCTCATTTATATCCACATTATGATTTCTTGTTTGTTTATCAAATTCTGATTAGTTATGAATCCACCTCATATCCCCTCCA